GTTCTCAAACTTAAATTCTGAACAATGTTTGGACATTTACTTGTAAAGAACAGTTGTCCTAGGACGACTACAAATATGCACTATCAAAAATCAAAGCACAATATTTATATAGAAATACAGAAGTGTATTGACAGACTCTCTGTGTTCTAGCTTCTCTAAAGTAGAGGGCATGATTTCTTATATGGTAAATTAGGGTAACTGATTTCATTTGAAATGTGTCTATACATTCTACTTCTTCCATCTTGTTGTCCACTTCTTCTCTGTCCATGTCTTTTACAGTCTCTCCTCTTGCTCTGTCCACTACATCAATGCCCTCCTCTCTACTCATCTGTTCTCCCGCTCCTTCTCATCTCCTCTTTTTTTACGTCATCCTCTCTGCTTATCGGTTCCACTTTTCTCTTGTCACACCCCTTTCTGTAACCACTCCACAAACTTTTCCACTTGGACCTCTTTCTTTACCCCTCCTCCATTATGTATGTATGTATTTATGTACTTATTTATTTATTTGCATACTCTTTTACCCTTTTTTTCCCTTTATAGTAAAAGCAATTACCATAAATGTGTAAACAATTAGGAAAATGTGTTTCCTGTGCTGTGTTAAGTGAGCAGCTATTAGTTTGGGGCCAACTGAAAATATACCATGTTCTTTTGATGATATGACACATTACAAAAACTTTAGGAGTCAGCTGTCCACGGTAGTCCTTAAGATATCAGCACAATAACACAGCAATATCTCCGCAAAATATTTTGTAACTATCGTTATTGATAATATATATATATTTGTCAATATCGCACACCCCTAATATATTTAAAGTTGTGTTTAGAAAAAAAAATAAACATGAAAAGTGCCCTTTTTTCCTCTTGAGCCCCTGCCACTCAAAATGTCTGTGCACATCACTGATGAGGTTGGACATGGTTTAGAGTCAGAAACAAATGCATATAACCGTATTGTCCCGAATATAAGAGATGTTTTTTTCTTGGAAATACATCTGAACTAACGCGGTCGTCTTATATTCAGGGTCTAGACTTTGACATGTCAATAATACACCCACAACAATAGGTGGCGCCAAATACGCATAAAACGAGTGTGCCATGAAATACGTAAAGTAATGCGTGTTGTAAAGATCGCGAGTAAAAACAAAAGAGAAAGAAAACCTTACAGCTGCACGAGTCGTGACTGTCACGTTAGCCTGATGGCACCAACTCTACTTCTACTGTTAATAAGATTTTGGTAGGCTACTATTAGATGGATAGCCTAATGTCCTAATTCAGATGGGCTACCTGTTTTTTTTTTTTTTTAATGGTATTTTAAAAAGTGTATGTTTTTTAAATGTGATTGTTGGTAAATTTGACCTGTTTTTTACCATACTTTCAAAACAAAAATGAAAATAGGAAAAATATGCGATATGAAAATAATTGAAGACAAAATGTGTTTTACTGAGAAAAAACAAGATTTGGTTTTTAAAAAGCCTTTTTCCAAAAGGTACATCTGGAAAAAGGGGGGGTCGTCTTATAATCAGGGTTGTCTAATATTCAGGCCAATACGGTATGTGGTGAATTATTGACTGTTGAGAGTATGCAGCTCTTTAAGTTTTGCATTTTCAAACAATAATTTGCATTCAAAAAATAAATAAAGCCATTAATAGTTTCCCAAAACACTAAATCTGCTTGTTTGATCATACCTTCTCCATAGACCTCCACCTCACACAGAGTAAGATACTTTGAATCTCCAGGAATGAACAGACTCATATATCGACCATCCATATTGTTACATGTGTAGGTGGAGGAAACACCAGCTGGAATGCTAGAAATCACAGCGCATCTAAAGAGAGACGGAGGAAACATCTTTTAGACTTCTAGTCTTTCGTCATACATGTTTTCAGGGATTTTCATGGATATTAAGCCACTGAAAGAGGGTCTCACATGGGATTGTTGTTACCGTTGTTCTCCAAAGAGTTTCCGATGCGAATCTCTGCTCCATCGATTTGTTCTGGACAGCAGTCTAGTCTGTTTGTGATGACGACTCTATTAACTCTGTACACAGAACTCAGATCCACTCTCCACCATGGGTTAGTCTGATTATCGGTTGAGGAACACGATGACGATGGTTGTATGAAACCTGGATTGAAATCAATGGCTTGTTGACCAAGCCAGGTGCCAATGGTTGATGACTGTGTGATGGTTCTTCCTGTTGCCAAATTACCTGTAACATGTCATAGTGTCGAGAAATGGTTTTAGTCAGCTTATTTTATACTCTTTGACCGTGTTTGAGGTGTTAATGTCATTACAAACCTGTAAGACCTTCATTCATCTTCAGAACACAAATTAAGATATTTTTGATGAAATCCGAGAGCTTTCTGACCCTCCCATAGACAGCAATGTGACTGAAACGTTCCCAGGACCAGAAACGGACATCGTTAAAATAGTCAATAGGGCCTTTCGCACCGCTTTAGTTCCAGAACTAAATGTACGGTACTATAGCACTGGGACAATTTTGCGCGGACTATTTCCCAGTACCATTTGAAGGGTTGCATTTGCACCGAGAGTGTGTACTAAGAAGTGACGTAAGCCAGTCGACAGCGTGGTCATTTGTGCGTGGCGTTCAACAACGGAAACAAAGAAGAACAACATTAACAACAGGAGGATGGAGGA